GCCATTTATTGTGGGTCACCGGGGTTCCAGTGAATCATATCCCGAGAACACCATATTATCAATCGAACGAGCAATAGCTGATGGTGCCGACGCCGTTGAATTCGGTACATGCGGTGATCATTTTCTTCCAACGTCACATTTAAGCTCATGAATATGGTTTTTTTTTTTAAAAAAAAATCTATTTGCTTGTTTTATAAACAGACATACAATTAACACTGGATGGTGAGGTAATCATTCTACATGATGCATCATTGGATCGTACGACAACGGGTGAGGGCAAAGTGTCGACCAAAAATTTCCATGGGTACATCGAATTCTTGACCACCAAGAAACCGCCTCACTGTAAAATTCCCAGGTTTCAAGACATTTTGGACCTCCTGTTGAAACCAGAAAATTCCAGTGTTTGGGCGGTGATTGATGTGAAAATTGATAACTCTCCGGAAGTTCTGATAGCGCTTTCAACCATTCTAAAAAATTATGGTGATTTAAAGGATTTTAAGAGTAGATTTAACCTAGGGATCTGGCACCCAAAATTTATGCCGATTGCTAGACATTATCTATCCGAATTACCCATTGTACACATTGGTTGTTCGGTGAATGTCGCTAGAAGATATTTTTCGGACGTCGATGGTTACAACATGCTGTTTATCTCGTTGTGCAATTACGGTGGCAAAAAATTCATTGAAGAAGCCCATGGACAATTTAAACCGGTGTTCACTTGGACCGTCAATAGGGAAGACCACGCGAAAAACTGTCATGATTGTGGAGTCGATGCTATAATGACCGACAAACCGAAATATTTTTTGAGCTATTTTGAATCCGATACCAACAATAATGCAAATAGGTTTTCGTCTTGGTTTTATTATTTATTATATTCCGCACTTGGATTTTTAGTTGATTATATGTACATTCGGAGGTTAAAGCAACACGGTGAATTGGACGAGAAATACTGTATCTAATTTAAGAATGATGAATGTACGGTAGTAAATACTGTATACTGTAAATTCGAAATGAAATCACTGGGTCGTTTGATTCAACAAATTTTCACGTAACTGTCGGGAAGAATTCATCGGTGCCACATCACTAGTACCGTATTATATCAATTAATTTCCTCTCTTTTCCTAAAATATTTGATTGTTTATAACGTTTGAGTTTCACTTCGATAACTTTCTTTTCCTAAAATGTCGAATTGTTTATAACGTTTAAAGAGTTTTCCTTTTTATAAGGTAGTGTGTTTCTCACACCAATAAATAATCACAATTAGACTAAATAAACTTCCACCTGGAATTAACCATTAATGGACTTATGATTTCTTACAAAATTACATTACTAACTGCTTTCAGGAGCGATAATACTTGAACACCTTTAACTCGTATTATTGCAATTATACAATCTGACAATACAAGGTTACGAGTGTTACTCCTGTCGTAGGTAGAATTTGATAAGTGATGGGCGCTAATGCATAATGTAATTGGGTTATATTGGCGAGCGAATAGCTTATTGCTATAAATGTGCAAGCATGCCAATTGCACAGTTTCATCCATTTATTTGCGTAAAAATTCATGGCACGTGAGTACATGTTAATTCAGGTATGTGATACGAAATTTAAAATACGCATGTGCGCACAATACACATCGAATGATAAGTTTCGCGTAGCGATCAGTTTACTACCTTTTTTTTAACCGTTGATCAGTTTCTGTTTAGCTTGCCAACCATAATACCATATATTGTCTCCGGAAAGGTTACAGATTTTACATTATAATGAACTGTATTTTCGATCCGTACAGTACGTGATTTGCATTAATTACGTAGAATCAATACGCACATACATAACGCATCCCTACAGTTACGCTAATGGTAGTGCTCTGTGCAGATTTACGCTGGATGAAAACCCGTTTCGTGTCAACGTTTCACGGATATTCAACACGTGATGAAGTCCTTTGTGAACATGTAACATGCCTTTTTTGTGATTTTTTAAATTAAATGAAATTTTGTCCTTATTAATACATAGCATGCATTAATTCGATTATTAGTTGCACTTCACTTTTCCCCTCCAGAAATCCACTTTTCCTCGTACCCAAGGGACAACATTCCTTTTTTACCCATCAATCCGTCACTTTTCCATTATATGGGGGTTAATTAGACACGCCTCCTTAATCTTCCTTCTTTCCTTCCTTCCTTTCCCTTCCCTTCCCTTCCCTTTCCTTCAGCTAAAAATTTCCGTTGATGCAAGGAATCTCGCTGGCATTGACTCCTTCGCTATTCTAGCTTATTGTTTATAATACACACTTCCAATATCTGTATATAATACTGTATACATCTTCACCGTAAAATTCCTTTGAAACGTTTTTTTTAAAAAAAAATAAAAAAAAAAAAAGAAAAAGAAAGAAAAGAAAAATACCAAAATAAACAAACAAATAAATAAATAAATTGAAGATGGAATATCCACATGAAGCTCCTTATACCGACTATTACCACCAAGGTACACAACCAAGGAATCCCAACTATTCTCCTCAGCAAAGGTCCCCCGTCCATACCCAACGAGGATTCCCGCAACAACCTTCTCCGGGTTATCAGGCTCCGCAACAGAGATCCCCCGCTCATCCCCAGCTAGCGTCTTATCAAGGGCACAATGAACAATATCCTTATCCTCCTGCACACGTTCAAAATTCCGAAAATACCGACTTCCGAAGGCAGAATCACATTTCTCCCGAACATGTCGTGAATTTTGACCGTGAAAAGATTGAAAGAAGAAGGGTGAGTACATTTTTACCCAATATAATTATCGATTCAATCACGTGACAAAGCTAATGTGCTCCTTTACCGTGAATAGTCCGCCCGTCACGTCGAACTCACTCGTGGAAATCTGGTGTTGGACTGTCCCGTGCCAGATAGGGTACTTCGCAACGTCAATTACACTACCGGTGATGAATTCACCACCATGAGGTACACTGCCGCGACTTGTGATCCAGATGATTTCGTCGGAAACAATTATCTTCTGCGACCCTACATTTATGCTCGAAAAGTCGAACTCATGATCGTCATGACGATGTATAATGAGGATGATAAGCTTTTTCTTAAGACAATGTCATCCGTAATTAAAAATATCGCTTTTCTTTGCACCCGAGAAAGATCCAAGACTTGGGGCCACGACGGTTGGCAAAAGGTGGTCGTGGTGATCGTGTCCGATGGTCGCAACAAAATTCACCCACGCGTTTTAAAAGTACTTGGAGCAATGGGGGTTTATCAAGATGATATTATGCAGAACAATGTTGATGGAAAACCTGTCACCGCACATCTCTTTGAATACACTTCCCAATTGAGAGTCGACCACGATTACAACGTCCGCGGCCTGGACAAGCATGTTCCTCCTGTTCAGATCTTGTTCTGCCTAAAAGAGAAGAATGCCAAGAAGTTAAACTCTCATCGTTGGTTTTTTAATGCTTTTGCCACACAGTTAAATCCAAATGTCTGCGTGTTGCTCGATGTTGGCACCAAGCCGTCCGACACTTCCATCTATCACTTGTGGAAAGGTAATTAATTATATAATTTCGTACTCTCGCCCCTAGCTGTACAGATGATGAATTTCGTTAACGTCACCATGATAATGTCACTAAAATAATCGCATTGGTATGCATTATTTCATCTCAGCCTTTGATCGTGATCCTTCGATCGGCGGCGCTTGTGGTGAAATTAAAGCCGAGCTCGGAAAAGGATGGATGAACCTTGTCAACCCTTTGGTGGCTTCGCAAAATTTTGAATACAAGATGTCCAATATCTTGGACAAACCTTTGGAATCGGTGTTCGGTTATATTTCCGTGTTGCCCGGGGCCTTCTCGGCCTATCGATACAAAGCTCTACAGAATGGCCCGACAGGCAGAGGTCCGTTGGCTTCATACTTCAAGGGTGAAACCATGCATGGCGCTGGTGCCCAGGCTGGTATCTTTGAATCAAACATGTACCTGGCCGAAGATCGTATTCTATGTTTCGAACTCGTGGTCAAGAAGAATCAAGCTTGGAAACTGAAATACGTCAAGGCACGTTCTTTTTTTTTTTTTTTCTAAAGAGGTCTCACTGTCGGAATGTAACCTTCATTTTCAATCGTCGTGTTATAGAGTGCAAAGGCAGAAACCGACGTGCCGGATAATGTACCGGAATTCATTTCTCAGCGACGTCGTTGGTTGAACGGATCATTCTTTGCTGCCTTCTATTCGATTGCGAACTTTTTGCGAATTTGGACTTCTGGACAACCATTATATCGCAAGCTTTTGTTACAAGTTGAATTCTTATATAACGCCATCCAATTATTCTTTAACTGGTTTTCCCTGGTAAGAACGAGGTTCCTGGTTGCACACGTCATAACCTACTACCTTATTTTGTCTCATTCCGTTCTTTCGATCCTAGGGTAATTTCTACTTGGCCTTCTTCTTCTTGACTCAAGCCACAACTTCCAACCCCGCCACCGATCCTTTCAGAGGATACGGATCCGAAATCTTTGATTTTTCTAGATCGTTATACTTAATGGTCGTCATCACGATCTTCATTTGTACGGAAATTCCTATAATAATCCTCTCTCTTGGTGGAAGCATCTCGATGTTGTACGACCTTGTGTTCCTTAACTTTTAAGCTTCTCAGTATATCATCGTACGCCGCATTAATGTCTTCACGTTCGGTAGGCACATCAACTGTCATCACATTCTTCGACACCGACTTCGCCCCTCCCAATTCTCCCGAACTACCATTGTCACCTTTGGTACCCCACGACACGTCATGGGTGTTACAAAAGGCGTAGACCATAAGAATGTTCACGTAGAAGGGAACAAACAAGATGTATTGGACCAAACACGTAATCATGTGCCACGGTTCTCCGTGAATCAACGAGGTGAAAATGTACATGCCATACGTTGATGCAAGCGATATTACGATGTCTCGAAATGCGGCCGTATTTATGGCCTCCCTGATACTGTTAAAACTCTTGAAATTCACGGGATGTGGAGACGCGTAGATGGCCAAGTAAACGGTGTATGCGGCGCAATAAAGCATGGTGGCCATGATAACCGCAAACAAGATGATACAAAGCGTGTATGTTGTTTTGGATCCTTGAGGGCGATTACCCATCGAACAAATGAAGATCGTGATGACGACCATTAAGTATAACGATCTAGAAAAATCAAAG